CAGAAATATATATGATGGAAGGTTCAGGAAAAATTTACTGAGGAAACATTACATTCATTCAATGAAAATCAAAAATTCGAAACCAATGTGAATCGTTCATTGATCCAGAAAATTGGCTAAGCCTAATTCCTTTATGCACCATGCAAGCAATTGAATTATTATCCATTTATTCATACCATATTTATCAAACCATAGTTATCAAAGAATTTCTATTATTCAGCTATAACATGATATTTTTCAACATTTTTTCAATTTTCTTCAATGAATTAATTTCTTCACGCTCTCAATCATATGTTTCATTCACTTACTCACAACAAAATTGCATTACACTGTTCTTGTTCGTCTTTCTATTTAACCACTTTCAGGTTTCCACTATATTAGATGTACCGGAACAATAACCAACCAAGTCACAAAAAGTACATATCATGTGGCAATGAAACTTTTTTAATGATCTCAATTATGTTGTTGAAAATATTCATGTTATTCATAAGTTCAAGAGTGAACTGGAAGGTCTGTTAATGTACTGCCAGCATTATTTTCTCAATGATTATTTGAACGTTGATCTCATGATGTGAAATTTATGTCATACCTCTCTTGACGCCAGTTCATTTCCTGTTAGTAATTTGTTTGGATTTAGACTTGGATGCATAATATATGATCAATACATGAATCACGAAATGAGGGATGATTCAAGATACGCATATCCATTTCTCAGTTGAAAGTTTGAATCATGCAAAGTGTGCCCATTTATCGAACTTTTCTATACTAAAATTTTGAAACTAGAGGAGAGAGGTGAGAATAACTTAGAGATAATAATCACCCGAAAATCTCAGGAACTAATACAAAGCAATCGTTGAATAAAGTACAAACTTGATAGGAGAAGTGTTTTCTGAAAAATTCATTGTTAATACAGAAAAAAGTCATGCAAATTATCCAATTATGAAACAACAACAAAAATTATTTGGCGCTCCGGGGCGACGTCATTGATCCCATAGGTGCATTTGCTGCAGCACCACAACATCTGAATGTCCTCTCTTCCATACAATGAAATGTAGGGTGTCTCCAATAAATTCAAGACATCGCTAAAATATTTAGTGACACGACTATTGTCAAACTCAAACCAGTTCGTTTCGTCTTTGAACAGTGCGTTATAATGACCATATTCAATGCCAGAATCATAATGAACAATGACTGCATTGGATATTTGATCCTTTCAAATCAAGTATTCTCCATAAAATTTTGAATTATATGATCTTTCCGAATTATGAGAAAAACCATTCATGAAAATTGAGCTTTCGTCTCGAGATGGAAAGTGAGGAAGGTAATAAATGCTTTGGAGTTTGAAGAAATCTGTTGCCCCAATGGCTATTCATATTGTTTTCCTCGCTGTTCTTCAATATTTTTTCCATAACCAACCGTGTACTGACCAGGTAAGCATCATCAGGAGATGAATGAAACTGAATATTACAAAAAAATGAAGGGAGACACTCTCCACAAATTTTTGATTTCTATTTACTCATTAGGATATGTGAGTCTGCAACTTCATGATTTTTCTATACGAACCAAAATGCAAATACTGATGGGTACGAATTTTTTGAAAGAAAGAGAATTGAAAATATCTTATAAAAAATGTTATGAAATACTCAAATTGCATACTTTTTCTCATGACGGTTTCGAAAACAGTACATGATCAGGTCTGGAAGTGATACTTCCAAATACTACAAAAGTGATTCTGGAACAATCAATTTCAGATACTATGGACACTTCTCATACTCAATTGAAAAAGACTGGGAATCAATTGTTTATATTATTCCATAGCAGATATATGTTTCTATGGCAAAAATACGGCAATTCTTCATGGTTTGTTTTTCATAAAAACCAAGTTTTTATCGTTATTTTGATTGGAGTATTGTTCTACACATCACATTTCGTGTTGAAGCTGCTGCTTCTTCTACCATATGAGTACAAGATATATTCAGAAATATTTATTGATTTATTCGTTCGCAAAAATAATTCCCATTAGTGCACTTGAGCTAGTGCTTTTTTCTTCCTTTGTACTCCTCAAACTCAATCGTTGGGATAGCCTCAAGCTCTTTCGGTGATTATTGTAAAATGAGAAAAAGTCACACGAAGTCTTGTCTGGCTAATATGGACGCTGTAGCATCGTCGCAGTATAATTTTCAGCCAAAAATTCACTGACAAGCAATGAAGTGTGAGCAGGTGCATTATCCTATTGGTATAACCTAACTACACCGGTAAGTATTACCTAAATACTACCAGTTATTGATGATATGTTTTTAATACCTCTGATTTGCTATGTATTTCCTCTGTGTGAGTGATTATCTCTAATATTTATGGGGTTTTTATTCAGAAATATAGCGTATGAGACAAAACAAAGGGCTGGTCAAAATAGGACCTTTATCGCTATTCATATAACTCATTTCGCACTTTTCAATGTCCATGCTTTGGAAGGCATCCAGGAACCTGCTGTCGTGTAGCGGTCTCAACAAGTTCAAACATTTCCCACTTATGTAATGGTCATTCTCTATGGCATATTTAGCGACACCGGTCTATGAAATCGAACATGCGAAACATGTTTCTTGTAGCGAGCTAATAGAGTCCGTTTGGTTTGACCAACATATTTCTTATCACAATCCTCGCAGCTCATTTCTGAATCCTAGACTTTTCTTTTTCCAACGTTTACGACTACATAAGTCAGAAATGTTTAGACCGGTACATGACAACAGGTTTCTGGATGCCTTCGAAAGATTGGAAATCAAAAAGTGCGGAATAAGTTCTATGAATAGCGACAAAGGTGCTACTTTGAACAGCCCTTTGTTTGGTCTTATACGTAATAATTCTAAATGTTAAACCAATGAATATCAGAGATAATCATTAACATAGAGGAAATAAATAATGAATTGGAGGCTAGTATTGAAAATAGATATATAGTATATTAGTATATTGGTTAGGTAATACTAACCGGTGTAGTTAGGTGATACTAACAAGTAGTAAATAGGCCACTAGCATATGAAAACACTAACAAAGTAGTTATTCTCAGTTATTATGATCTCCTGAGGACGCCAACTTGGTTTACGAAACGCGCGTCAAGATACCGTAATTTTTCTTCTGGTGTTGGGGAAATGTTTTTCAATAAAATGGTAATTCATTTTAATGATTTTCGAAAATTAGGTGTATGCAAGATGCAATGGCTGGTGAGAACAACTCTGTTCATCATTTCCAAAACCAAGTTGATCTTATAATTATGGNTAACAAGTGTTGGAAAAGGTTAAATGGGTTGCTGAAAATTCCTGTAGATGGCATCCTAATGAAAGTTTGTACACTGGTAACCATTTTCAGCATTTATAAAAAAAAAGACCCAACCTGCGCCCTTGCCTCCGGAAATCAAGAGCTAGTCGTTCCAATTGGGTACAAATACTACTTTCCTGCTTTAACTCAAGAAAGAAGTGAAGGAACGGTAACAGAAAATTTTGTGTAAACCATGACAACAGCCACTTCTCTAATTGTAATTCGGAACCACTTCAATAACTTTTTCTACGTTTCCATCGGATATTGATGTGCTGGGGCAATCGGGGCAGTCGTCTTCTCGGTCATCTTGGAAACGCTTATACACTACTCTTGTTTCACTTATAGCAGACTCATCGTAGGCCTTTGGTAAAATTTCACATACTTTGTTACACTTCATTCAATATTTCCGCAAAATTTGATACGACTTCTTTGATTCATTTGTTTCAACGAACGAAACAACGAGCTCTCAAAAACACATAATGTATAATATGTGTGATTGACGACTTGTTTACTTTATGGTCATTCATGATCACTTAAATGAAATGAATAAAAACAATTTTGTCTAAATAGTAATACCACTGGTAGATTTTATTTAAACGACCCCATTATACTTGATAATGGGGTCAAACACGAAACCGGTCGTACAAATAAAATCTACCGATAGTATTTAGACAAAAGTGTTTTTATTCATTTCATTTAAGTGACATATGTATAACTTCAGGGGCTCTACCACAGCCGCTACATTTAATATTCTACTGAGTAATGTGTAAGAAGTCCCATTATTTTTTTTGGGTTTATTCTTGATTCAATCCACTGAAAGTTCAATCCATGCAATAGCTCCATTATAGCAAGCATCATGAGGTAGCACAAATCCCTCATCATTTCAAGAGTCTCCTGTCACACATGTGGTGATATAATAATTCCCTAATTATGTTGGAGAAAAAAAAATTGAATCTGTCAACTGGATTATCAGTTGACTGGATTATAGAAAAGGTAAACGTTATCTTTGGTGAATGTCACTATTGAGCAAACGTTGCTCTGTAAGCAGAAAAGGTAAACGTTACCTTTGGTGAACGTCACCATTGAGCAAACGTTGCTCTGTAAGTATAGAAGGTAAACGTTACCTTTGGTGAACGTCACCATTGAATAAACGTTGGTCTTCTGTTGAATTCTTCTAAATTTTTTTTTGTTCTCGGGCCAGAATACGGTCTGAGGACAGACCTTTTACAGGATGGCCGAATGTAGGAGATGGTGATGGATGTTGAGATAACGAATAACCCTGGATTGGTTGAATGAGGACAGTCACAGCTAAACATTCTTAGAGTCCAAACGTGTTGGTTATTAATGTTCGTTATGGGATTAGAATAAATATTGTATTCGAAGACTTCGTGTTTACGTTATCTGTCACAAAATTTGAATTGTAATAGGTGTTATGAACATTTCCTGTTCAAATTTTCGAAGTAAAATTTTGAAATTTCATTTTAACATTCAACTTTCCTCATCGTCAAAGTGAAACATACAATCAGATATTGGATAGATAAAACATTTCATGATAGTTAGAAACAATTTTTTTTATAAAAAAAGTCGGCCCTGATTTGAATGTGACAAAAAATAGTATAAAAACTGAGTAAGCCGAACAATACAGGGATATACCATACTTCTATCAGTGAGATATATTCTGTATGTCTAATTGATAGTTCAAAAGATTTGTACTCATTTCCGTTATTCACAACAAAACCTATGTTTGTAAGTTATTAACAATCAAATCATTCAATTAACTAACATAGTGTGCAATGAACGACTGCTTTAATGTTTCTATAACTATCTGAATGAAACAAACAAATAATAGTTATTTGTAACGTGTCAAAGGCACAATAACATGCTTTAAGAAAGCAAACTTCCATAAGAAATATGTTCGAATATGTTCGGTCAATAATTATTTATTATTCGTCATCATTAGAAATCATTGTGAACATAATGAAATGAAATTGTTTCAGGCGATAGTTAACGGACAACTCACAAACATGAGGTGTTATTTTTCCCAGTAGAACTGAAATTCTGTAAACAAATTATAAATTATGAATAATTTGTGATGATTGATGTGGATTTATTTAAAAGTCCTAATGTAAAACAGGCGATAATGACGGCAAGTTGATGGAAACATTTTTCACAGGTAAACAACTTGAAATGCTTCTTACTTCTTTTAGCACTTTAGTCTTTGTGAAATCACCGATCTGATTGGATTATTGAATAGTGAAGAATTCAGTATCTATGAATATCCGCAATTCAAGTATAATTTACTAGAAAAAATTAAATTGAGTTGGTTGCTCTGAAACTTTGAATTATTGAAAATAATATAGGATATGCATTGAGTTTTTTTTTTCATTCAATCAATTCAGATCATATCAAGAGGTATGATTAAAACTTATTGATTGAAAGGTAAACCGGAGGAGAACCTCCACATATTACTCACAAGCAATTCCATAAATCTAAATATTCTCTATTTGCTTCATCGAGCTTGAGAGTTACAAACAAACTGACAAACAAACATACATACAGGTGAAGCTAATAAAAGCGTGTTAATAAAGGAACACTTTGTTCAGGCCAGTCTCAACTCACTGTAGATTAATGGACTGGCACCTATCAGAAAACAACTACTCCCCTGGCTAATACCACGAAGGGCATTGGATTATATCCGACCGGTGTCAGTGCAGGATTCTCCACTGAAATCATTCCTTCATTAGCTGTTGGCGATACAACTGCCGCAATAGATTTTCAAATATTGGAATACACAGTGTAGGGAGTTGAAACTGGCCTGAACAATTCGTTCTTTCAGATGCTTTTCTCTATTTGTGGAAATGGTCAAAAAGTTCACAAAAATTACTGTCCCTGTAATCTCCACTACACCTAATATAAAAAAAACAGTTTTTCAGATATTATTGATAACAGATACTTAACAGTGATATCGGCGCATTAAAAAATATGTACTTTAACACCACAATTCAATGGTTGACTAATTTGAATATCCATTATATTATTAGCACCATCATCACTAAATTTATCCCTAATTCGAATATATTTAGTCAAGTGAAACAGTAATATTTATCTTTGCTTACTATTTTCATTAGCAGAGCCGAAATGATGCACAAATAGATTTCTGCGAGTCAATATAAAAACTGTGTTAATTAGTGGATATTCGAGAAAAGAAGTAGTTAGTAAACCTCCGTATCTGTTTGAGATATCTTCAATAGTTATTCAATTACTAGTGTAAAGAATTCAAGGTATACAATGAAGGAGATAATTTTGCAATGCCATGTTCAATTTACTCATGATTTTCCAGACTCTACTTAAATTTATCCTATATGAAAACTAAAAAATTTAAGGCTAATTGCACACACACCGATTTTGGACGGCCGATTTTATACCGGTCGTCCAAATTCCAATAGTGAGCCACATGTGGCAACGGGACCTTGCACACATGCTTACCGGTGATCGACATTTACTTGTTTCTTGAACTTAACGTAGTTTTGACTAGTTTTTATGGTTTTAGGTAGTAAATCCCAAGTTTTTGGACCCAGATAGCTGCAGTGCCTCTGTCCCACTGTTTTGATACATTTCGGAACCACAACACTATGTTTTTGTCTCCTAGTATTGTATGGGTGATCCGAGCGTGTTATTTTAATTTCATTTTTGTATATTTTTGTATATTTAAGTGTGTGTCATTTACTCCTCCCCATCCTATTATGCCGTATGAAAGTTGGGACTGAACTAAACTATAATACACAGTTATCAAATGGGTGATATCAAGGTATTCTTTCAAGAGTTTGAATCTTGATATGAATCCTCGAAGTTTATTTGTTAGATACGATATATGTAAATCCCATTTCAAATGTCGGTCAATTTTTATACCGAGGTATTTAATGGAGCTGGCTTCTGGAATTGATATATTCTGGTTTATATTCAATGGCCCCAATTCGGCAAATTGTTAGTATAGGAGGTGAAGGGTAAGTATTTGGTCTTTTCCGTATTCGAAGTTAGTTTTTTGTATAAAAACCATTTATTAACATTGTTGAAATCTTTTTCCGCCTTCGCTTTCAGTTGTTGCCATGTATCGTCACTATAAAATACTGCTGTGTCATCTGCAAAGCTCAGAATAGTTCCTTCAGAGATAATTTTCAATAGGCTGTCTATATAGATGGTGAACAGAAGAGGGCCTAAGACCGTACCTAGTTGGATCTACAGATCCAACGTGGTTCTGTACAAAACTCTGTTCCACGAAAAGTTCCCCCAATTTGACAAAAAGAATAAATAAATGAAGCATTTCTATATGAATATGTATCCTGAAACATCATTCCCGTGTCTATATAAAAGCAGTTGGAGCAACTGACCGCGCATATGATGAACAAGGATTCTTCATAACAAAATCACGTCGTTAGGGGCACCGTATTAATTCGTCGAATGTGAGCTTTTTCTATAATGAAAAACAACGTCTGTATCCAACCAAATCAGTTAGCGTGGCTTCAAAGGCTTATTTCGTTGAAGCGCGATTATCCCCACTGGTGGCATGATGCGATATTACGCTTCCTTGTTGCCACTTGGTAAATGATTTATGGAATTCAGAATCAGTTTTGATTGACACTTACCTAACAGAAGTTGAATGAGGCATGACAAACTCGTAAAAAATGTTGATGTTAATCAACAATATTAGAAAGGAATCACTAATCACTCAATATGAGACCAGGAAGCTGCATGACTTGAGGTTATCAAATACGACGAGTACAAATCACTGACCTACTTGAAAATGGTTACCTTCAAAGTACCAAACAATATTAAATTATTCAGAAACTTATCGTATTCTGAATTTGCCTATCAGAAACCTGTGGAATGAATTAAATTACCCATTTTAAAAACGTTGACTTTGAAAATGAAACATGATTATTGTGCTCTCTTATCAAATGATAATTTTTTTGATTGTAGAAAGTTGAGAATCACAAATTGGATTCAGAATGTTTATCTCACTCACGAAATAGATTATTCCTATTACAAAAGTGATGAAAATGTGGTGGACTAGAGAAGTAAAAGATAAGCTAGATATTTTTGGAAAAAAAGTTTTGGCAAGAACTCCTGATGTCCCACAACACGGTTATCGAAGAAAACAGGGAACAAAACCTTGACATTTGATATAACTTAGCGCGCTTTTTTCGGTCCTGGCTTTCCTGGGCTCTTTCATTGGGACAATTGGACTTTGATTTCGAAGTCATAATTATATGCTCTTGATTCGTCACCAGATATGACCCTTCAAAGCAAAATTCAGCAATTTTGGAACAAACTTCGCTGCCATACGATTCATACCCGAAATTTACGAGAAAAATTGCATGGCATGAGGCAAACGATATGTCGATATTATCAGAAACTCCTTTGATGGTAATTCGATGATTCTACATAATGATTTTCCCTACTTTCTCAACTTTCATCAGTTGCTGAGGCATCCAGGGCCAGCGTCTCATCTTCTCGACCTTCTGTGGAAAGCTTATAGGTACCAGTTTCAGATATTTTTTCACTCAGTGTATAATCAACGTATGCGACTGTCAACATTCCGAATGTTTTCGAGTCCCAAATTCAATTTTTTTATACAAAATAAGATGCATTTTTTCCATATCAGAAAACTGCCGAACACGCTAAACATTTGTAACTTTTATGCCTCTCTACGATGAACTGAAAATGCTAAACAGCTGAAATTGAGAAAATACTGTACCAACATAAATTTTTATTTTAAATTCCAATCGATTGTACGTAGCTCGCGAATTTTGAACATTCACCTGTTTTTTTGAACAGCCACGTATACAATGTTCATATTCGAATAATAATTCTTATTCGTGAACATGTTTGCGATAGAGGTACAAATGGAAATCAGTCACTTTTCCGAAAATTTTCATTGCATTTCAGGCGTTTTATAATAATATAGTCAGGATGATAGAGTCCTGTTCGGTTCTTCTGTGGTATCAGCAGGACATTCGACTCTGTTGATGATAAATACTCATTTGGCCTGAGATGAAAAAGAGAGGTTGCATCTTTTGATGCAACCAACTGATCTTCACCTTTTTCCGTTTCAGTTAATGTTCACACTTATTTATTTTATCACTCTAGAAATAAAGACCTGTTAGTATTATTATTATTGAGAGTGAGTGGAGAACCTCTTATTAGTAATACTATATTCAGTTAGACAAAATTTTTTTTCTTCAATAGAATCAACATTGCTACTAGGAGAAATTTTTGAGTTTATGTTAATTCTTAATAAATTGTTGTATTTGTTAGTTTTATTTTAAGGTTAATTCTTGGTTCTATGATTCAGAATATGTTTTTATACAGGAAGCTGAAGTCTTTGCTGAACTTTTTTGTGGTTTTCCAACAACTTTTCACTTGTGAATGATTCTGAAATATAGTAAATGAGGTTAGTTAGGATGAAATTACACGTTAAATTTGTGAAGTTTCTTTTCAACTTTGTAACGTTCCGTGTTTCCACTGTTTTTGTTATTGAACGCAAAGAAATCATTTTTGCCCATTTCAACTTATAGATTGTAACATACCATTACTTAAATTTCTATTTTACAGTTATAGGGATTCTTCTGAGCAGTCTGCAGCAGTACTCCAAATAAATCATAATCAGAATACTGACACCTATTTAGTCCATATTGTTTATTCTGATTATTTTTATTCAAGTTACGGTTAGGAATACAAATAGAAGTCATCTAGTTATGTCCTTCGTTTGTTCAATCGTATACTTTATTTTCAAAGTGTAGTTGAAGTGTAAAGTTAGAAGTGAGGTACAGAGATATATATCTACATTTAGTAATGTCATTCTTAGAATAGGTGGACTTTGTTTAAGTATGTCTATTTTAACAAGTCGTAGAATGGTTTGAACTTTGAACCGATACCGATTATGTCTGTCAAGGATGAAGTTTGGAAAGGATTTTTTCTGTGCTTGGCTGCGGAGAGAGAACATGTAGTGGTGATTAAAAAAAAACTATGATAATCATCAATCAAAGATAATCCTTATTTTGGAGGTATTTATAGATATATACAGCACCCAACCGTTATTTCAACAGTTTTTCAATCTTATTAATGAAGTTCATTACATGATTTTCACTATAAAGGGATTTACAAATACCGCAACACGTGTTTCGCTATACAATAGCTTTCTCAAGCGTAAAATAATAAGTTACTTCTAAATTACAACTATTTTATACTCTAACATATCTCCTACTTGTATACCTACTTCCTGATGAATGAACTACTTGAAAAGTTCAGGTATAAATTCATTAACTATATAAATAAATTGAATTTCCCAAAGTACCGTAATTATACTTTTTTCTCACCTGGGAATAAACAGATTCAATAATGGCGAATTATTCAGATTTTTCTGAAACTGAACTTTTATCTTTGTTATTCTTAATGTGCATGCCTGAGTTGTTGTTGGTTTTGCCTTTGCTGTGCAGAAAATTTGAAATATTCGTAGTGTGTTGGCCTAAGTAGGTTAAGGTTTTATAACTTTTATTCTTACCTCTTCGAATTGGGTAAACTTCATTCAAAACGTATAACTTCCTGTATAACGTTTTTTGATATTAGATAATGTATGACATTGGTATCGTAATCATTGTTGGCATTGTTGAAGATGATCACTTGGTGATCAAAACAGGTATTGAGGTTTTAAAATAACGAGAACTCCAGTAATATTCATTACTACACCAAAGATTCCAAACAGTATATTGAATAGTAAATCGTTGAATAGAAAAAATGATCGATAGTCGAAATTGGTTGAGTTATCGAAGGTCATTGAATTCTTGAGGCTTAAATAGCGTAAAAACTCATGAGAGAATACGATCATGAAAACAGTTAGGACCAAGAGATCAATAAGAACCAAAATACATTGGACCTAAGGAGAGCGTCATGAACGTGTCTGGGTTACCTATTATATAATAAGTCTGGGGGGGCTACTGCTGGCGACTGCCAGAATCCCAGATCTCCAGGATCAGAGGGGTCGAATTGGGGGATCATAAATCAACAGCTTTGATTAACCTTGATGGTTTACGGAAATAATATTTCCATATGAGATTGTAAATTTTAATGCATTAAACCTTCGGATAAGACCCTGTATTTGAGTGTATTCCAATTAAGATCATAATTTGGAAAGACTTGAATGTTCAAAAATTGACAGTCCATTTCATTCATATCAAAACTCCCAAGTGGTAGTCTGGAAGTGTCTCCTATACCTGTGTAACGAAGTTATTCTTCGGTGACAAGTGTTGAAAGATGGCACAGTATTTCCATATGCTTCCGTAGATGACGTCCACATAAAAACTTTAATTTGGTATACCTGCCCGCTCTTATATTAACGTACAGCCGAATCTACTGAAACTAGAAACTTGAAATTCGTTCTTTCTGTAGCGTAAATAAGCATCAGGAAAGGAAATCAGGAATTTCCACCCCCAAGGGGGAAAAACATAAGTTCAAAGATTATATTGAATTTCGACAGTTTTAAATTAGAAAACCTGAAGTTTTGGATTGATAAAAAATATTGTGAATATATGTATGAAAGGGTCTGTCACGAAACTCAATGTGACAAACCAAATTCTACGCAGGTGAAGCCACGAGCAACAACTAGTTGTGGTTTTATATTATTGTCGGTATCGTCAGTTCGTGATGTGTAATCGAGTTCGAAGTTGGATTCAGTATATTTTTCAATATTAACTTTCATTCAGTTGTAAAGTTGTTAGTGGAGAATTAACGAGGAAAAGTCTCTGAACGATTTGAAAAATCAACTTCTCTAGTCAAATACTTGACATATTTTCAAATGAAAATTTGTTTATCGGCACATGAGTTGATAATCTTCAATTTTGATTTTTTAATACTTACAGTTGTTTTTGTCAGATTCTGTTATTGTCGAGTTGAACAGAGATGTTCTTTTCTATCACCGACCAGCAAGCACGTGTAGAAAACTGAATTTCACCTGTAGAGCGACATTAAAATCAAATTTGTCGTTGTGTATTCTTCCATCCACATCTGAAAATGAAAATCATTATTTAAAGAGTTATTCGTATATGAAAATTAACGAAAGTACTTCCATCAACAATGAATATAAGTGAATTTTTCAATCAATTTTCAATTCGTGTACGAGGTCTCTTGAGAAAATAAGGCGAATGTTCAAATTTCGCTGGCTACGTACATTTGATCAGCGATTTTTTTATGTTGGTACACTCATTTTGAACATATGTTCAGCTGTTTCAGCTACTCACATATTTAGTTTGTTGGTGAGAGGCATTGAAGTTATAAGTGGTTTTTGCGTGTTCAGCGATTTTCTGCTATTGAAAACTATGTATCAGAAAATTTGCATAAATTTTCGTGTAAAAAATAGAATTAAGTGTTCAAGAACCGTCGCATACAGTGATTGTAGTCTGATTCAGAAAAATGTTCATAGAAGTCCGAGAAGATGTGGATGACAATGCTCGTCTTGGACGCCCCAGCACATCAACAATCGATGAAAATGTTGTATAGAATCGGTTGGCCCATTCCTTGCTAAATTTTGACCAAAAAACCGTCGTATGAACATCGCTTAGGAATTGTTGAATGACGTAAACGGCGATCCAAATTTGCTTGAGAGGGCCATAACTGGTGACAAATTATGGGTATATGGTTATGAGATCGAAACCAAAGTCCAATTGTACCAATGAAAAAGCCCAAGAGAGGAAGTCAAGAAAATTGTTATGGAGAATCTTCAAATCACTATTAGAAAGATTGCTGGGGGTGTCAGCATGAAGCGTATGGTAGCAAACTTTGTTCCAAAATTGCGGAATTTCCCTTCAAAGGGTCCTAACTGGTGACGAGTTATGGATATATAGATATGACTCCGAAACCAAAGTCCAACCGTCCAAATGGAAGAGCCCACGAGAGCCAAGACCCAAAAAAGCACGCCAAGTGTGATCGGCTGTAGATGTTTTGCCCACTGTTTTCTTCGATTATCGTGGCGTAGTGTATCAGGAGTTCTTGCCATATAGACGTACAGTCAATAAGGAGTAATATCTTGAAGTTAGGCCCCGCTTGCAAGAAGCAATATGAAAAAAACTTTCGGTATTGTGGAAAACAATTCATGGCATCACGATAATGCAGCTGCTCATTAAAAGATGGCGTTTTGAAGACATGAAATCCGAATCGCTTAGGACATATAATATCAAAAAGTGCATATCAGAAATGCTTCGAAAAAACGCTAGCACAAATGTTTTTTTATCTCAAGGCGACTACTTTGAAGGGAACAGAATAAAAATTGGTGAGAATGAATATTTTTTGGGAAAAATTTAAATTCGCCTTATTTTTTGAAAAGAACTCTTATATATAGTTGTATCAACCAAATGGAATAATTTCGATCAAACATGAGAGCGTGTTCTCAAAAGTCTCAGATGCGTCGGTTGTTATTTTCAGTGACATTTTATATAGTGCATACATAGAGTGCCATGTCATTATCAACTTCCTTATTTCTAATTCGAAATCTTTGGAACATTCTCCATACAACATACAATCTTTTACACCGAATTTCAGTTGTTCTAGAAATTTTCTCAAATTAACTGAAAAAACCACCATGAAATAACTATTGAAGAAACTCGTTATAACAAACTAAAGAACTGATTTATCTTCTGATGATAAAGAAACCAAAATATCATTGAAGTTGATGGAATATTCAAAAAGCTCAACGCTAACGTTTCAACATATGTGGAAATTTCTTCCAAAGTTACTTACATCTCAGTAAAATCATAATGGTTCGAGTTTTGTACGATACCTTCGATATATTATCTCGAGAGTTAGTCTTATAACGTTAGATCAGGAGATCATGCTAGTAGTTTCATCGATCTTTGCCTCCCCATCCACCAAGTTGAAAATATTCAGTTGAGATACTGCCTGACATGTATTCGGTAATGTGAACTGAGTTATTGAAATATTAGTTTGATAAAGTTAGCACGGCGTTACTTTCACACTTTCACATCGCCATCTATGAAAATAGGTTCTATAACAGTATCTTCAACAACTTTTGTCCAATCATTCACCTCTACAGAGTATTGCATTCATTCATGTCTCATCCGGTGGTATTTTCTTCAAATCACTGGTGGCAATTTCGACAAATAGCGTGAAATGTCAAAGTGGAATCATCAGAAAATTTAACAGGTTCTTTCAGGTCGCAATGGTCATTATTTGGTCAAAAAATACGTTCTCCAGGATTGAAATCATCTCAAAGAAATAACTTTCACTCCTTTGGGACAGTGAAATTGATATCTGCGCGATTCTTAGCTCTTTCGTGAAAAATATATTGAACTTAGGCAAAAGTTCATAGTAGGAGTTGAAAGTTTAATATTTCTACAACTGTATGAAGTTCCCCATGAAAACTTCATTTCTGAAATGTAGGGTTCCACACAAAAAAAATGAAATGACTTTTCTTAAATATTTGACTGCGGCAGTTTGAAATTTTGAGAAGACTCAAGAAGAAAGTTACCAGAATTTTGGAAAATTTGCACATTTTCATTGATCCGAATTCCATTCTCGATGGACCAGCTCATACCCGAAAATCGTTGGAAAAATTGCCATTTATTTTCCAAATATTCAATTTATTTCAGTATATTTTACCTGTGACTGTAATATCACCAAGAGAATAAACTATTCCGGGCATAATGAATATTCGTTCCATGTTATTCAGAAATATTCCTGAAGAACAAGTTATTCCTTCAGATATGTTTGTGAGACTGATATAAGTCGTTATTCCAACCAGTTTTTTTACAATAAACTTTCAACAAATTCTGTAGGTATGCCTTTGAGAAATTTATTTAAGAAAATTCTTCCAATTTCGGTTTGCAAAATTTTGGAATATCATAGTCCTTGACTTTCATTGAACTTTATAATTCTTTCAACATACCAATTTCACTTTCGAAGATTCCCTTACAAGTTTCTAATGAAAGTTTCATTTTGTCTGAAGATCAAATGACTGATGTTGGTGATCATCATTTCATTTGAATTTACAGATTGCTATACTAAACACACTCAAATCACTGTTACCGATCAATAGTAACCTTCGTTCCGAATTACATGAGGTGTCAGTTCATTCGGTTGATTTTTGAGAATAACTCCTTAACTTTTTAATTTGATATTAGTTTGTTTCGAATATATTAAATGTTAACAAAAAAAATACGCATTTCTAGCGCAATGAGACGCTAAATGCTTCTATAAATATACTTCCACTGGTAACGAAGTAGATACGCCTGAAGAAGTTATTGTATGGCGAAACACGTGTTGCGTTTTTGTGAAATTGTTCAGTGAAAATCTCACAATGAAGTGTTTTTTGAATACACTGGTGACAAGTTGTAACGACCACATACTAAAGTTCTTGATGAATGATTTTGTTGTGACTTTTTTTTTGTAGCACAAACAATTCACTTCTCAACACACAATTTGAAAGAAAATCACTTTCACGTATGAATTCCAAAAGACACAATATTCCGAGGTATTTCATCTTTCAACTCTTCCCAAAAAAGCACTACCATTTGAGACGGCGACACTTCATAACAATTAGAGTAGAGGCTGATGTAGAACAATATTTCTACAAGGATCTCCATCTAATTTTAGTACAGCACAACTGAATTTCTCCATGAACTGACAATTCTATTAATGTCTCTCGACAGCTGGAAGACTCTAGCGTCAACATTTTTCTCTTGATATCTCATATAAATATAGAACAGTTTTCGCAATAACAACGACTTTTTGAATCAAAGAAGAACATCTGTTTTAAAAAAATCTGTTATAAAATCTGTTTTTCCGTTAATCAGCTGTCGCCCCCATACGAACGACAACTGTCAAAAGTTGAGAACTTGTGCGAGCTAAGGACTAACGCGGTTTTACCTTTCAACGTGTGATTTCTAACATCATTTCTACTCTTTACAGAACTATATAATTTGTTAGGTTGTGAAAAAACATTGTGATGATTATGGTGACATTATTTATTCCAATCAACAATTATTGGCAGGCCGATTGTTTTAAGAAAGTCCAACTCATTGAGTCAAAACATGTCTGAATATCCAATTCTTAGTCAATATTCCGAATTATTTCAATTATATTTTGTTGTTCAAATCGAATACTAAGCGTTACTCATACCTGAGTTCATATTAGGTAATTTGTGTGAACAAACAAATTGCCCATAACAATTTATTATTGATGGATGTTATATATTCTACGATACAACATGGATAATGCCAGAATGAAAAACAAAGATATTAAAACACAGACTGCTATCAAAAATAATGATTTGTAATGAAAAATATTTCAACAAAGAACAACTACAACAATTAACTTTAATTTTTTTGGTCATTAAGAGTTATTGATGAACATATTCTTATGAGAATTTCTGAATATTCTTTCTGAAAATCCCGAAATTGCTCGACTCGTTGCAAAACATTACTGTTGGTTCCGGAGGTATTTCGAATTCGGCCTCACACATAATTCCGTAACGTAACCGAACGAGGTACGAACAAGACTGCGTAACAATTCGGCGGATCCGCTTGTAACGTTCACGCACGTCTGAGTGGTTACAGAAAACATGCAAAAATCACAACATGTTACGCCACTTTACGGCTCCGTGGAGACGAAGTACTGATCCATGTAATTCGTAACCATTAGAAGCCGAACCACCAGTCATCAGTTGGGAATCCTCGCATGAACGCAGTGTTACAGTAAAAAATTATGACGAGTATGGTATTGCGTAACCTTGTTCGGTTAAAGTTCTTAAAGAAAAAACACAACTCGCTTATGAGTTTTAGGTTGAGTCAGTAAGAAATCCATTATTTGAGTAGTGGACATTATTCAAAAATGGTTTTCTGATTAACCTGTTGGATTAATGAAAATGCTTACTTTTTCATTTTGAGAAAAGTTCATGGTAATAGGTACTATTTTGCTGTTGGGTTGATGATGAACTGAAATTGTAGAGGGATCGGTTTTGTGAAATAAACAGGATTCAAGTTTCTTGATAGGTG